CACCGTTACAATGGGATAAAAAATGAAATGAAAGTTAATATACAACAATGGTAAAACTTAAATAGGTGATCATCTTTGTAGGTTTAAGATTAGTTAGTTACGGATCTTCACCGTGTCAGTGAGATTACGAGCCAAGTAGGGAACCGTTGAGTTGCGTTGAATGTTTATGCGAGACGGTAAGCAGTGAAAATTGAATCGGGTTGTAGCGTGGGAACGCCAAGCAGATAAATCGGGATTGAGCGGATGAATGAGGTGCTGAGTATATTATGCACGAAATTCTCACTAGAAGTGATATGCAAGTTACACAATTTTCTAATCCGGGTGTTTAAAGGAATAAGAGAAAGACGGCTGATAATNNNNATAAAGTATGATAGGAAAAATGCATTGATAAGCTAAGAAACATACCGTTTCATGTCTCACTCGAAATTGTCGTAGCTTGCGTATTTGAAAAGATAAGCGACGCAGTCTACCAACACAAGCAAGCACATGCGAGGGTGACTCCTAGGTATTTCCTGGCATATGTTCTGGTGATGGGTAAGAAATTGATGACTGAGGGATAGAAGAGATAATCGGATCGAGAAAGACTAAAAATGCATTCGAAGCATTTAGAAGTATTCATTCGGAGACCGAATTGGTTCGAAAATGTCTGAACCTGCAACAAATTGTCGGAAAATGATTCTATGTTTGATTGGTTTGAGTTGGCTTGACATACGACCACATTATCGGCACGATGAAGGTCTGGGCTGATGGGATTGAGGGTAACTCACTGATGGAACTCGAAAATAAGTAGGGGGAGAGTATAGCACCCTGAAGAACTCCAGAAATATTCACTAACGGTTTTGAAGTAGTGCCATTTGCTTTCGTTCTTTGAGTCCCTGTGAAATAATCTTTTAACGATAACAACAAGTTGGTGGGGCAACTAAATGATTCTAACTTTTGCAGGAGGAAAGATCGTGGAACGGAATCAAAAGCTGAGGACTAGTAAAGGGAAACACAACGAACCGATTTTTGAGAACTATCTGAAGATTTGCAAATAAAGTGCATCACTGAAGATACGGCATCCAAAGTGCATCTATTTGGCTTGGACGCAAACTGGAGGGGGTCATCGGGAACAATAATACCAGATTGCAAGCGGGTGAGAATAGCGCGCTTTGCAAGTTTGAGTCCAGAGGAGGCGATGACGATAGAACGAAAGCGTTTAGATAAAATGCTAAATGAAGAGGATTTAAGAATGGGAACAATGGTGAACGGTCTCCAGGAATCCGGAATCGAACATGTGTAAATGGATTGGTTAATAAGGGACGTAAACCGCTGCCATCTTTGAGCAATGAGGAAGATAAACCATTGGGGCCAACTGCGTTCGTGATTTTCGTAGTTTTGAGATGATAAACCTCTTCATAGGTAACTGGGTCTATGGTAGATTGGTGATCTGTGGGGTACGGAGACAGGAGATCATTCGAAGGCTACATTAATGAAGCATCGAGGCTGTCCACGTCAATAATTTTGTTCATTGTCCGTTTCTTCTGTCCGCAAAGCAATCTGATCCCTTGCCATAGCCGTCGTCCATCTTCAGCTCCCATAACTTGTTTTGCAAATGAAGCATTCAGTCAGTTGATTTCTGCCCTGATTTGCAATGTGAGTTGTTTGACAGTGGATGTTTGATGCACTTTGAAAGCTAGTTCCGTCTGTCTTCTAAGACCTTTTAATCGCGGATAGCATATTCCGCCAATGTGAACAAAAACTGTCTCCATAGGACAGTATAGATTGAAAGCCACGTTAACTGTAGTAGATTGAAAATGACGTAGCTTTTTGGTGTATCAAACATTGAATGATTGATCTTCTCCAACGGCCTACAGTTGTTCTATGGTATTCGCGATCGTCATCGGTCAGTCGTAAGCAGGACTATTGCGGTGCACAACATTATCTTTACTTTTATAACTTTCTTTTCCACTCATCGTCGTTGTTCTATAAAATACTTGATTTTTAAAAAGCTCTGTTCGATTGAATACATCATTTGAGGTGATTTTTTGCTATTATCAGTTGGATCAGGGAATAACGGAACGAAGTTGAGTGTTGCACTATGCGATCGATAATTGTAAACGTGTTATTTTTATTCTAGAAACAAAATGCTAAGTGATACTGATCTTATTACAGACGGTAAGTGGAAAGTTTGGCAGAGCAGTGGAGCTGTTTCGACATTGTTCGGTCTCATCCGCTGTGCGGGGGTACGTTGACCGATTCAACGACCAATCTCTCACAGAAAAAAAGTAAGTACACAATCGATTCTAGCAGCTATTACGACTGCGCTTACACACGCACACACACACGATATAGCAAAATCTATTTGTACAAGCTTGTTGTGTGCGTCGATCGAATTTCGCTTATCCCAATATCAAACTCCACCGGTCAGCCGGAAACATATCGAGCTTGGTTTGTCAATGTAGAAGAGCGTAAGAAGTGCTGAGATTATGTGAATACTTCACATCAAGCAAGTAACTTCAGAATTATCTCACTCGCTAATCGCTCAGCTCCCCAAATCCTCTTCTCTCTAACCTCCCGGACGCACTCCATGATTGAACTTGGTTGGTTAATGAACCCGAACCCAGTGTCTATTTGATTCAATCCACCCGATCGCATGTGAGCACACATATTGCTGGGTATCGTGCAACGTTTGCGTTCGATCACTCAACGCATACTTTGACGCAATCAGGTCGTCTTGATCCACCAAACTGATAGCAATCGGTAACACACTGGTCACAATGAAGCCGAAAATCCATTTAGGTAGTAATTTTGATTAACCCTCTTGGCCTCGAATGTGTTCGATTTCATTGATTTCTATTCATAGTTTTCCCACCTGATTGTCACACGATTTGTTCCGAATTAATAATCTTTAAATTTACATTTTAAAACCCCGTACCTGAATGAAATGTTCTCGATTCGAGGTATCTGATTTTATGGGTTTTTACGTGTTTCGTGGAGCTAGCACCTGTTGAAATTGGCCACAGAACACTTAGTTCTCAACTAGAGAGAAATTTGGTGACGTCATCCACATAGCGTATCGATTTGAGTTCTCTCGAGCACATCACTTATCTACCCAAAATGTGATTGTGAAGGCTTTAAAATAAATTCACCGAAAACATATATTCGCCTTCATTCTGCGTTCTTAAAGGAAAATACTAAAACTTGAGTTTACCTATCGAACGTATCTCAAAAAATCAAACAACGATATCATCTCCTCGGGTTTGCTTGTTGAAAAATTGCTTGTTTCGACAAGCAACTCAATGGAACCCACTTTTCCCATACGACGTAGTCATTGAAACAGAAGAAATGGGAAATGAGATAAGCAATGTATTCCCACTATAGTTCGCTTTGTTTTACTTGAGTAATTCCTTTTGTAATAATCCAACCTTGTTCAAATTCCACGTTTTGGTTTCCTTGGTTACCACATCCAGTTTCGAAAAGATGAACATGTTTCCACAAATACAACTTATGTGAACCAACCAACCAGTCTGTTCTGTTTATATTTCCTCACGACGTAACTTGGTCGATTGTAAATATTTAGTCCATTCACTTTTGTAGTTAAATTTGAAACAAGCTATATGAACACGCACTTGGCGGTCAACAGTTAGACATAAGAAACGAGAGAGAGGGAGACTGACTGGGAATTCTCCTCGAATTGGAAGCGTCAGCCTGAGGCAGTCAATGCATGAATGAACAAGTCTGTAACATGACAAATTCATAATTGCGTTAATTTTCTTTCTGTTCATCAACGATTCCGCAGCCAAGATAAACGCACCGGGAGTGGATTCTCAAACCAACCATCCAAACAACAAACAAACAAAAAGAAAACTTGACACTTCGGGTATCAGGCTTAGATTAGCCCGTTCGATCGTTCAGAGGTAGCAGGCACTCTTGAAGGTCTTGGGTGGGGGTTTCATTCCTTAGGAGATCGTTAATTCTCCACTTGTTGAACGCATTTAAATGCAGTGGAAATATTTGTGATAGTCGACAAAGAGCATAGGACAGCTGTTTTCTGTCCTGTTTGGGACTCGTCAGCACTGCGCGCACTTTTTGTCTTCCCGTATCAGGACTCAATCTGCGTACAGCCGGGTCGAAACTTCGAACGCTTACCCCTGATTTACACAGTCGACGGTCATGAGCGTGTGCGAATGGCTCAATCAATTTAGAGTATCGAGCTTGGATTGACCCATTCGACTGTTCACCCCAAGACCGTCAAGAGTGCCTGGTGCCTCTGAACAATCGGATGGGCTAAAACCTGAAACTGTTTTTGTAACTATACGACCACAGTAGTTTTTACGTCAAAACTGAATGTTCTCCGGAGGCCATGCAAAAGAGGGAACAATGTCGAACAAGGCAGACTGTTTTCCATTTTGCCTGTTCGCCGAGCTTGGCAATTTGTTAGCAAACGTTTCATCACCAGCCGAGGTGACATCATCAGTCTCACTTCACAAGCACTAATGACGTCACCTCGGTTGGTGATGAATTGTTTGCAAACAATTGCCAAGCTCGGAGAACAGGCGAAATGGAATTCAGTTCACCCGAGCTACGAGGACAGATTTTCAATAATTTGTCAACAAGGCAGACTGTATCTGTGATATGCGGGGACAGATTTCACCGATGATTTGATCCAATGAAATTTGTTCAATGCAGTCACGAAGTCAGGTAGGAGAGCCTGGAAAAATAAGTTGTTATTATGGTGTTGGTCGTTGACCGTTTAGGAATTCTTGACAAATCGGTGGGTGATCGAATCAGAACGTAAAAATTACTAAGTGAATGAACTGGAAGTCACGAGAACTGTTCAATAAAAATTCTTTCTCACACGTTTGAAAATTAGCAATACGCAGAAGAAAGAAGCACAGAGACAAAGCCTAAGTGAACCCGTCATGATTGTCAGATTCGACACCCCAGTCCTCAGAGCAACTCCACCCGGGAACTTACTAAGGCATTTCACCTCGTAACTGGAAACGATCAAATTTGACGTGCACTTTCTCTCCCACATCCGCTATAAATCGATACACACAGCGCGGTTCAAGGTCGTTTTGTCTGGACCAGTTAGGCGATTCGAATGTGCCCGATTTCGATTTGACCGCACGACCGGGATTCGATTCAGCAGCAGCAGCAGCAGTAGCAGCCTGGTCTCCGTTCGACGGACTGCGTACCAACACTTCACCTCGACCGGGCATGCAAGTCTCGCCTGTCACAAGCGTTCCATCTGACGGAGTTGTGGCTGGGCGAACATTCATGTGCATTGGTAAAGCGAACCAGTGGTGATGTGGGCGGGCGGACAGTAAGCAATATGACAGGGAAGAAGTTTGTGAAGGAAGGGGTTAGAGAGTATAGAAAATATTTGTGAAACAGCTCGCAAAGTTTCACAGATTGTCATGAAAAACGAAACTTTAATGTTTGTTGTTGACAGGGTGAACGACAGGGTAAACGGAACACAAAGTTTGTCCATATCACTACCAAATTCGTTTCTAAGAAGTCACTATTTTTCATAGGTGGGTGTGTGCTACAATCACATTCCACATTTTTAATCTCAATAATGAAAAAATTTCCGTTTCAGTTGTCTAAGCACATTGATACGTTTCAGTGCTAAACTTACCGTGTTTATGCATTCTAAGCTCATTGATTGCGCTTGAAGGTGAAACCTGAAGGGTATTTAGTAGACATATACAAAAAATTATCCCCTATCACACTACTCACACGTTATCGTGAATCACATTAAAAACCCAGGAATATTTCGATTAATTATTGAGTCACAAATGATAACAGATTGTATTCAATAACAGTATTTATTTTATATTAATTTTTCAGCATACACTAGATTTCCAGTCAAAAAAAAGTGATCAGTAAACTAGGGATCGATCCAATCCGGGACCTCACAGGTAGAACGCAAGTATACTATTCACTCGGTCAACGGGCAAATAGCTAGCTAGCTAATCAGACTGTTTCTTGGTTTGAATATAGACACGATATAGGACAACCCATCTATGCGATCTGGTGACGTGTATCGATCCTCGCTCATCTTAGCACTAGCCTCCACGGATAAGATTTTGTTGGAAACTTTCACAACCTGATTATTTGTTACACGAGACTAATGGAGGAGCTTCCCAGTTTTTCAGCTGAAACCTCAACAACTTGAAGAAATCATCAGTTTGAACAAATCAGAAAACTAATCTGAAATTAAATATGAAGGAAGGGCGGGTGGGTGGGTGAGGAGGGGGGGGAAAGGAGAAAAAACCCAGAAAATTTGGGTGCTGAGTTATACATCTTAGCAGAATTCAACTCGCCAAAATCGAGACACGTAACATGAACCAACAACTCATTATTCAACCAACCAACCCCTGTCCACACACACACATTTGCTTGGATCTTAACGCTCAAGTTCCGTTTGATGACTTTGAGGCATTGTAAGCTTAGGAACTATCGGGAATCATCAATTACTCGTCTGTTCGGTCGCCGCAAAAGATTAGTAATAATTTGTAACAATTGATATTTCACGCAAAATTTGTCTACGCACTTCTCTTAAATCTCGGTCGCAAATTCATCTGCAAGACGGACAGTTGATTTCAGGTGTATTGTGGCAAAACACAGGCAGTCCAGACGGGCGGATGCCAGATGTGTTTTCCAGTGTGTACCATACCCAGAATACGTGGATGGTTACCGTCCTGTCATAGCTGACGTTTGCGAATGAGAAATATGAATATATATAAACCAAATCCGGTATACCCAGTGAAGAGCGGGGGCAGGGGCCAGTAGCAGACACACGAGACATGAACTGCGGTGGTCCCTCTGACAAAATTTTAATGCTTCTTAGACAGGAACCAATTTGGTCACTTGTGTTGCCCAGATGACCTATCCGCATTGATGCGGGCAATATTTTGTAGCAGACAGTGTGTGCCCGGTATCATATCCGGGGCAAAAATTAACGAAATAACTTGTCCATTTTTGACGACCATATGTCAGTCATGTAACCGAAAATAACAAAAGTATTAAAAATTCGGATCGTAATATTCGTTCTTACCTGGGCAGCCACCAGGACTGGACAAAGCACGTCCAGATTGATAGTACCCAATCGTGTCAAGAAGTAACTGCTGCTACGTTTGCTTAAGGAAGCACAAAATTAGGCAAACCAATTGCTACTAAAACAACTGGTGTCTGATGAAGATGCGTTATGAAAGGGAAATAGAAATTTTAGTCCAAGACGGTCTGTGCAGTTGCACGCACACCTATTAAATATACTTTGTTTGTTTTTAAGTAAGATCTTATAAAAGTGCGTTAATTCCGTGCACCTGGGGACCGACTAGGCTACTGTAGTATTGAGCTGAACGAATGCAAAGCTGCTCATTCGGTCCACATTAGGTGTTGGCTTCCGGATCCAAACACGGTACAGTAAGACCCTGGATAAGGCACGACAGGGCCAGCGACAGTGACTTAACTATCAGCATCAACACAGGCCTAATTATTCACTGTCTACCATGACTATGTTTCTTGGGCGTAGTTTCCCCGTTCCAAATGGGATACGATTTGTTAACCTCGAAAACTATACCTTTTTCCATCAAGCTTTAAACAAACCCGTAATCCCTCATCCAAAACCCGAAATGCTTCAGCCAAAACCCACATTCCTTTAGCTAAAACCCGAAACGCTTTACAAGTGTACTGTATTCATGAGAGATGGATATATTGACAGGCCGAGGATGATGTGCACCATTCACAAAGCACAATCCCATAACTATCGTCAGTTTATTATTACTACCACGGTTGAGGCTTTATTATTACGGGTTTTGTTTATAGCTTCCCGAGAGAACGGTGTTCTAACGGGGCTCTTTTGTAAACTGCGGTAGCGCGGTGGAAACGTCACCAAATTACCACCTCGAGGGANNCCACCATCGCCTGATTTTCCCCATAGCAGTCCTTTAATTGGCCGCTTCCCTCTTCCTGAAAATTGCATCACGGCGTATTTAATAAAAGAAAGTAAAATTGAAAAAATAGTTATCCTCAACCTGTTATTGTTTCCACATCTCGAGAATAGAGTTCACTTTAAGTGGATCTATGAAACGATAAGCATCTACCTTTTGATTTAGTTCAGGGTTTGTGAATGCAACAGCGATTTACCATTGGTGTTAAACTTGAGATTTTTACTCACAGCAGTATTGCATGTTATAGGAAAACATTAAAGCTGTACGAGACGTGCCGCACGGTTTGATGATACGAGCACATCACTTAAACCTTCTCCAGTCAAAGTCAAAGTTAAAGTTTTATTATGGGAATAACTTGCAAGCTTGTGCTTCTCTTGTCCCCATAGGATATTTACACAGATGAATCGTTACACATCGAAAAAGGAGTCACATAGAGTTTCGGGTGGGACATAATAGAGAATGTAGACTAGAGTGAATTTCCGTTTGCCTTTAGTGGTGTACGAATTTGAGGTGTGCCAAGGTTTCGTCTAGTCTCTGCTTGAATGATTCAATAGTGGGTGCACAAACGACATGAGATGGAAGGGCGTTCCAAGATGTGCATACTCTGACAGCAAAAGACTGGCGCCGGTATTCTAGTCGACACTTGGGAATCAGTAGTTCGAAACGGTGTCCCCTTAGGTGTACATTTTTCGATAACATGAGCAACGATCGACACGGATGTTTTGAGTTCTGCAGTATTTGATACGTCAAAATCAAGTCTCCTCGAGTTCGGCGGTACTGAGAAGGATATAGTCCCAATGATCGCAATCTGTCCTCGTATGTCAGGTAATGCAATCCCTTGACCATCTTGGTGGCCATCCTTTGTGGACGCTCAAGCATCTTGCGATCACGTTGAAGCCATGGACTCCAAGCTTGGATGGCGTACTCTGTATAGGATCGAATGTAAGCTTAGAGCATACGTGGGAATAGTGATGATTTAAACCGGCCAAAGACTCGCTGAAGCAAGCCGACATTCTTCATAGCAGCAGGTGATGTCTTAGCACAATTGATGGAGCAACTTAAGTCCTCTTGAACAACAATACCTAAGTCCTTTTCTCTAGAAGTGTGTGGTAGCTGCTGATCCCCGAGGAAATACGAGAATTTCCGCTTGGGGCGTACGGATAGGACTTTGCATTGAGAAACATTAAATTCAATGTCGTTCTCCTTAGACCATTGANTAGTCTCTGCTTGAATGATTCAATAGTGGGTGCACAAACGACATGAGATGGAAGGGCGGTCCAAGATGTGCATACTCCGACAGCAAAAGACTGGCACCGGTATTCTAGTCGACACTTGGGAATCAGTAGTTTGAAACGATGTCCCCTTAGGTGTACATTTTTCGATAACATGAGCAACGATCGACACGGATGTTTTGAGTTCTGCAGTATTTGATACGTCAAAATCAAGTCTCCTCGAGTTCGGCGGTACTGAGAAGGATATAGTCCCAATGATCGCAATCTGTCCTCGTATGTCAGGTAATGCANNNGCGATCACGTTGAAGCCATGGACTCCAAGCTTGGATGGCGTACTCTGTATAGGGTCGAATGTACGCTGATAGCGCATGTGGGAGTAGTGATGATTCAAACCGGCCAAAGACTCGCCGAGGTAAGCCGACATTCTTCATAGCAGCAGACGAAGCCTTAGCACAGTCAACCACAGTCAACATGTGGTGCAGCGTGCTACCCACACCTTATTTCGTAACCAAGCTTTGTAACACCAACGTCCATAGAAAATAATTTTTTTCAACATCCGTTAACTTCAGAAAATTCCAATACTGTTTGATCTGGCTTGTCTAGTGCGACGTGACTAAAGTTTGTGCGTCGAGGCTAAATGACTAAGGGTTTTGGCTAAAGGATTACGGGTCGAGGTTAAAGGATTGCGGGTTTTGGCTACAGATTGATGGGACAAAGTGTAATGATGAAAACATTTTACCCCAAATCGTGGCTCAGCTTTTATGTTCCATAATTTGAAAACCGGAATCCACATTCGTATTCTGGATAAAGTCAAAAAATGTTTTCTGCTTTTCAAAGATACTAGTAATAACTGGACTTGAAAGATTCAAATTATTCAGTGATTAATCGGTCAACTGATTGAAAATTTAAATGATGAGTTCATTGAATGTATCGTTTATCGGTAATGAGTTAAAAATTGGCATGAAGTTTCACTGCGCATTCCTTTTCATTTCACACCCGAGGAGCTAGTCCAAGTCAGACTTTCTATGTTATTCTCCTTAACACGAGGAATGCAGTTTCTTGCTTCAGTTTGAGCACCCACAAACAACACCC